GCAACACTGAGGGTTGCGATCTGTTGCCGGACACGGAAAAAAGACAAAAGACAAAAAAAAACAAAAAACAAAAAACACTGCACTAGAGAAAAGAACTCTGGTTCCAAGGGGGCACAAATGAAGCTTGCTAACCATCTGCTAACCTGTTCCTGTAGCAACCTCCCCTCCCCCCACCTTTAGTATATGAAGACAGCATTGCTTTCCACCCTAGAAGTAGCAAATGGCATCCACAGTTTGGCTGAAGAGGGTATTATTTACAATTGAGAAATTTTACATTGGATAGATCAGGGCTTCTAAACCATGGATTACTGACATTTTGCATCAGACAATTCTCTGTGGTTAGGGGCTAGTGTACTGTAGAATGTTTAGCAGTATCCCTGGCCTCTACTGGATGGAATCTAAAGTGACATCCCTCACCCTGAGTTGTGACAACCAAAAAGTGTCCAGACATTAACAAGTGTTCCATGGGAGGTAGAGGAGGACCAGTCCGTGTTGAGAACCAATGCATTAGAGAATCCAAATATCTGGTTTCTCTAATCACCACCCATCCCCCAGGTTAGAAGATCCTGCACCACTGGAAACCGATCAAACATGGGCTAGGGGCTAGAGGGTTCTGCTCTCTGGTTCACCTGTTTCCACTGTACCCTCACCTCCCAATCCCCAGACCCAGGCCCAGTAGTGTTTGACACTGGTCTAAACTACACATCTGCTTAGAACAGACAAACATTTCTTTTATCCAATTCTTTTTTGAGACAGAAAATTCCAACAGCACAGTGTTCTAAGACAAGTAAAGGAAGTGAAAATCTTTGTGGAAATGTGTTTTTTAAGAATATATAACTGGTCCAATTGTTCTTACTACAGGATGATTTGTGAACCAGCCAAAGGAGATGGAGACTTGGGTCTTCCTGCTGGTGCCATCTCTGCTTGGACAGCCCTCTCAGGGTGACAGCTGTCTAGTGGGTACCAAAGGATCTTTTGGTAAAATCCCTGCCTTGATACCTGCCTTCAGCATCTTGGTCCAGCCCATGAGGAGGAAGACAATTCTGAAGGATGCTCTTCACCACTCTCCATCAAAAACTGACGGCTCTAAGAATGTACCCACTGTTTAAGTGTAATGGTGAAGGGGAAAAGTAGTGTTTTCACATAAAATACAAACCTATGTGCCCCAGTTGTGTTTGTAAACAAGCTCTTTTAGATCTTAGCCTTCTCCCTCTATGTTGTTTATAAGGCCACTTGTAAGTCTATCAAAACCTTTATCTAGGGCCAGCCCCGTGGCTCACTCAGGAGAGTACGGCACTGGCAGCGCCCAGGCTGCAGATTCGGATCCTATATAGGGATGGCCGGTGCACTCACTGGCTGAGCATGGTGCAGGCGACACCATGCCGAGGGTTGCGATCCCCTTAACGGTCAAAAAAAAAAAAACCCTTTATCTAAGTTCATAGAAAAAACAGACAAAAATCATGCAACTTGTGTGTAAAGATGTTCATCACAGTGCTGTTTATAGTAGTAAAATACTAGAAATGAGAATGGTTTGGGACTAATTATGGGAATGAGGATGAATGATGATAATGATGGTGATGACAGTAGTGGTGATGATGATAGGGTGGTGATGGTGGACATGTTAATGATGGTGGTGGTGATGATGATGGTGGTGATGATAACTGTGGTGATGATAACGATGATGGTAACCATAAGGATGGTGGTGATAGTATTGATGGTGGTGGTGATGATTATGGTGGTGATGACGAAACTGTGAGTTTGATAATAACGGTGGTGACAGTGGTGATGATAGTGACGATGATATTGGTGACTAATGATGGTGGTGATGATGGTGATGATGGTGGTGATGATGACGTTAATAGGGATGATAATGGTAGTGATGATAATGATGATGGTGATGGTGATGGT